CTACAAATTTTAATTAGGTTTCAGAGAGAGCCTACAACGTTGTCATGAGGTTTTAATGCTCTCCAGACAGACAAATGTACTGGGCTCGGATAGATTTATGATGATGGCGTTCCTTTGCAAAGGTAAATCCAATAACTAGGTCTTGCTTTTAAGATGTATTTTGTTGGAACTGAACCACGCCACTATTAAATACTGGTGGAAGCTTATGTAGATACGCATCTCCTTTCCTCTGAGAACATCCCTAGTGAGTCTGCGTATGGGCATTGCTCTCCTTGACCATCCTAGGTCTTGCTCCAGCGACCCTGTGGTGTCCTCAGGGATCCTGTCGGTCCTGCTGCCAGACAGCAGGCAGGCTCCTGGGGACAAACCCGGCTGCGCTCACGTTTTTGAAGTCATGGATCTCCAGGATTTCCTCGCTGCCGTTCCCACTCCTGAAGGTCTCTGTCCTGGCCAATGGGTCGATCTCCATCACAATCTTCTTCTTCTGACCGTGGCTGAAGAATGTGTGCTCCATGTCGTAAACCTGTGCGGGACAAAAACCCACGGGGGTCAGCTGAGTCCCCCACCTGATTTCACAGGCCGGCGAGTGGGCTGGTGCTGGGTGCCTGACCCCTGGTGCTGGGTACCCTGCCACGGGGCCGGCTGCTTTCCCGCGCCCCAGCCCTGAGCCAGGATGATCGCCTGTACAGCGCAAGGAAAGGCAGCTCCCAGGCACCGGGGCTGGGAAGAAGGGCAGGATGGGGCCAGGCTGTGGGGGGACATGTGTGTCAAGCCTGGAAGAAGATGCTCATCCCACACGTCCACTGGGAGCTTTGCCATGGCTCAGCTTTGCCGGTGTTTTCTGTGGCACGAGCCTGTTTATGTCCCAGGCTGGATTGAAGTCCTGAGTGCAAGGGACCTTGCTTTCCCCTGTCCCCAGCTCGCTTGCTCCATCACTGCATCCCCGGCTCGCTTGCTCCATCACTGTCTCCTCAGCTCATTTGCTCCATCTCTGTGCCTTCTTTTTTTCCTGGAAAGGCAGAGGTAAAAGCCTCTCTCTTGCCTGGAGGAGATCAGGGATTGCCTGCGGATCAAAGACCTCCTTGACGGCTGCTGAAGAGCTTCGGGGCGTAGCAGCCGGCTTCCCGGCAGCACTCATCCCCACGGGGAGCCGGGGTGAGCAGCGCCGGGGGGAGCAGCCCTCTTCTCCTCGCAGGTGCTCGCTGCACTCAGCCAGCCCGGCAGCCCTCCAGTCTCTGCGGATGCCTGACCCTTAAAGGATGAGTAGTGGCAGATGCTATTTGAAGCACAAAAATGATCCTGCTGGCGCGGCGAGAGCTGGCGAGCCTTGGGGAGTCTCGTTTCTCCTAATCAAACGGTGTCATGTGGAAGTAAAGGGCTTGTGCAAAACCCCTCAAGTCCACAAGGCAGGGGGGGATGATGGAGGCACAGGGATGGGAAAGCCCTGTTCATCCCCCAGCACGGCTGTGGAGCCGGGGAAGGAGCACCCTGGCCCTGCAGCAATGCGCTGGTGAGGGGCAGGGGCTCTGCCTGCAGTCCCAACCTAAACCCCCTTTCACAGTCCCCTGGTTCTTGCACATCCCTCCCCATCAGGGGGTTCAAATCCTCTTAGCAATGTTTTCAGCATCAGCATCTCCCATTTTGCAACCGCTGGAGGAAGCCTGGGTGCAGACCAGGCTGTGCAGGCGGTAACTGCTGGGTACCTTTGCCCCTGCTTAGAAGTTAGAGGAGTGATAGGCACCTTGGCAGCCATGAGCAGCTCCTGTTAGTCAGCAGGAGGCTTTTATAAAGATATATGGCTGTCAATGGATTTTATGGTATGGTAAAAATAGTCTGAAGCCTAAAATGGCTGGAAGGCCACCGGTTTTGACTGACAAAATGAGCACAGTGCCGTAAATCGTTTCTAGGAGGCTAGGATCCCGGGTGGCACCTTATCTTCGAGTGCCTCTCCATTTACGAAGAATTACTTTTGCCAGCGCAGTGGCCAGCTAACCCATTTGGGCTTGGCCGGCTCTGTGCTGCTTGGAGAGCTGTGAGATGTTTTATAGGGCTAAAAATGACACTGGCTCACAAATCATTGAAATATGTCCCGCTGCGAGGCCGTGACGAACCCCTTGTTAGCTGACTCATTGCCTTCGCTCGCTGGCGGTGCCGGCCGGCGTGGATGCTGCTGAGCAGAGGGCAGCGCCGTGTCCAAGGCCACCCCTCAGAGGAACAAGTCTTCTTTAAAGATTTTTTCCATTCTCCGGTTGTGTGAAGGGAGCTCAAAGCGCTTTTTGTTCTTTAAAGAGTTTAATTCCCCTTGGTTTATATTTTTGAGCGTTAGGAACTTCCAGCCTCCTCTGCCCTGCTTTTCCCGGAGGACTCCTGTGCCAGCTGGAGAAGTGCTGCCCCGCGGCTGCAGAAGATGTGGTGATGCCGGACGCCCAGAGCATCAGCATGCAGCTCCACCGCAGGGACGTCTTTGCTCTCCTGCGACCTTGCGCTTCGCTTGCCCGCCCGTCAGGCGTTGTGAAGGGCTTTCAGAAATACCGACGGACTCCATCCTCCATCAGGCCACGGGAGCCAAGGACCAGCGCCCTGGATAACCCTTCCGAGGCTGCAGCAATGGCTCTGCGCCATCGGCTCGAAGAAAACCTCCCCTCCGGGGGTTAACAGCCTCTTCCCCCCACAGCTGGCACGCACCCTGTTTTTCGAGGAACAGTAGAGACTTTATAACCGTCTTGGCAGGAGCCTGGAGGCACATATGGCTTTTATTGCTTTTTCTTTTATTTTTGGGGGTATTTATTTCTATTTGCTGATAAGAAGACAAAGTTTCTGGCAAGCGGGGCGCTTCCTCCACGCGGCGGGAGGGCAGCCTGGCCGGGCTAGCTCGGCTCTGGCGTGGGACAAGGAAGAGAGAGGAGATGCCACCGTGGGAAAGAGGCCGCCTTGGCTGCACACGGGAATTTTGGAGATGTTCTTGAGAGTCGGCAAAACCCATCAGCACCAGGGCGCAAAGCAGGGCCTCCTGGATGAGTGCGGAAACTCAGTAGGATGGGGAGCAATGGGGAGCACCGGGCAGGCTGTTGGCTTCAAGGTTAAGCTATTTTCTTGGGGTGTGGGAAGAAAAAAAAGGATTTTGGCAGAATTGCCAAGATGCTGGGCAGCAGCGGGCGGAGATGCACAGGAGATGCGCAGCCCCGCTGCCGCCCCCGGCACGCTCGGCACTTACAGCAGCGTCCGTCTGGGGAGCTGGGAATAAACAAGCACAATCCAGTTAGCAGGAGCTCCTCCAAAAGCTAATCCTTCTCACCGTCCCCTCACATTGCAGACACATTAAAGTAAGAAATATAATCCGTGACAATCAATCACCACTGCGTCCTGGCTTTCTCTCCTCTTTATGCGGTGGCATAATGACTTTTCCACCAGTTTCTGGCAAGATAATTGAAATGAAATGGAAAATATTTTCTTACTTGTCATAAAATTTGCTGCCGGTGAAATAAGAGTAACTTTAACTCTTCGTGGTGTAGCTCCCATCCCCTGTAATAAAAAACCAGCCCTTTTAAAGTAAAAGCTAGTTATGAATAATACAAAGATATTTAAAAGTCCCATGAATACTTGTGGTCTAAGAAAATGCATTTTGTAGAGTTGCCTGGGTTTCGGGTTGTAGTTAAAAGTTTCAGTGAGTCGGGGGGGGACAGCGCTGTCTGGGGAAGCGGCACTCAGAAACGCTGGTTCAGAGTTTTTACTTACTTTTCTGGGTGTTGGGTTCCAGAGATATTTGACACCAAAAAATATCAGAATAAGAGAAATGAGCAGCACGCTGAAGAGCAGTCCGCAGATCTGGTATCTGGTGAAGGTCTTCTTTCGTGTCTTGGATGCTTCTGCCTAATTAATGACAAAACAGTGATAGCCAGAGGTTGGCTGATGATTCAAGGAGGGACGAGTACACATGCATATCAGACATTTATCATGCTGACAAGCTGCACGGTGGCAAAGCAAGCCACGAACTTACGTCCAGAAAGCGGCAGTCCTCCGGGCTCTCCCGAGCCGTCCCTCCCATGGTGTCCTCCGTGTGCGAGGACGCGAGCCCGCTCCGAGGTGGAGCTACAGAGGCTCTGGGCTGCACATGTGGCGGGGAAGGCTGGGTCACTGCCGCCCCCACGACGGCGGCAGCCAGCTTTCCCCCACAGCCTGCCTGGCTCCGGGTGCTCCCGCAGCACTTGCTGTTTGCAGGGTGCAAGCAATTCCCACACTTTTGGAGACAAGCCCGCGCGAAGCTCTGTTGCGCGGTGTCCATTGGCCCCGTCCAGGGTCCCAGTTTTTTGTTTAAGCTCTGCTCCTGCCCTCTGCTTCTGCCCCTGCACTGACAGCTGGAGGTGCCCAGGCTGTGCAAGGGCTCCCGGCCCCCCCGGAGCTCTGGGGACGTGGGCACTGTGCTCTCGGGGGGCTGCTCCCCTCTGCTCATGTGTGCAGAGGGGCTTCTGCAGTGGGGGCAGCCCCGGAGCTGCTGGCGAGGTGCCTGCATGGCAGGGGGACATGGGCATGGGAGCAGGGCAGGTGTGTGCGTGGGCATGGCTGTGCACGGGTGTGCATACACATGGGCACGGCTGTGCATCCATGTGCACCTGTGCATATGCATGGGCACATGTGTGCATGTGTGTGTGCCTGCACATTTGCATGTGTGTGCATGCGTGTGTGCATGCACATGTGTATGCCTGCATGTGTGTGTGCATGCACGTGCATGCACACACTGCCAGCCCTCAGCAATGCAGACCAAAGCCCGAGCTCTCCCCGTGGAGGGCTCTGGCATCCCGCACCCGCTTTGTGCAGAGCCTTGCCCCAAAGTCGGCCTAACCAGGAATTTCCTGACTAATTTTTTTTCCTACGTTCAAAAATTTCCATTTCTTGAAATCGGACCATTTCTTCATGGAAACGAACCCATCTTAAGAAAGGCTTTCAGAAATCCAGTGTGAAGTTTCTAGTCTGAACAGGATGAGGCTCCCTGGTGTAGCGGAGCTAGCATGCCCTGTTTTTTCAAGCTGTTTACGCTCATAAAAACCCAGAGCGCATCATGCACTAATTAAAATTGCACTGAAAAGAAGAAAATCCACGTCAAGTTTTACTCAGGGTGAGAAACGGAGAAAGAAATTGCTTTTAGTGGGTCTGCCACTGTCTTTGCGAGCGTGTCAGGGCATCGCTGCCCGCATCCCGAGGGTAAATCCAAGCGGGATGGAAGCAGAGTTGCTGAATAGCTTGGGGAAAGCCGTGTGTGTGTGTGTGTGTGTGTGTGTGTGTGTGTGTGTGTGTGTGTGTGTGTGTGTGTGCGCCCTGGTGTGTATCAGCTCCCTGCAAAGGGGTTTGGGGTCCCTGGCCCCGGGGCGGCAGGAGCTCCTCACCCCGCAGCCCAGCAGCAGCTCCAGGGCCAGCTCCCCTGCCCTTAACTCGGCAGCAACAGCTCAGGGATGTAAAGCACACCAGGGATTTTTAATATCTGAGAGGCCAATAACAGAAGGGAATCATATTGATGAGTGAAAGACAGCAGGTTATTTGGAGGAGGAAAATCACTTTTTAATGGAAAGCAATCACAGGCAGCCTTTGAAAATATCTGAAAGATTTTGGAAATCTAAATGCAGCAAAATCTGTGCAGACACCAGGTTTGTCTTTCTCCACTTTTCACCAGAAAGTTTCACCTCTGAAGCTTTTGTTATTCAGTGGAAACTGAAGTATCTGAAAACATTTTCTTTTCCTGTCAAAATTACAGTTTCAAAGGAAAACTTTGGAGCAGCTCTACTGAAAGACGGTTATGATTACAGGAAAGAATTACAGCAGTGCCGTTAAGCAGACATAATTGATCAGCATAGCAGCGATCTTCACAATATCCCCCACTCCAGGCACAGGAAACACTGCAAATACCACTCGTAAACCAAATTAGGCATTATTATTTTATTACTGTTGTAAGGTAAATGTCAAGCTTTTTAATGGCAATCACTGTAGCTCCGTCAGGAGTCGGGCGTCTGAATTAGCTGGAAGAGGTGAGAACCTCCCAGGGCTGGGAGTTAATAAAACTCAACAAATATCATCGGTCCCTTCCAGCGCTTGGCGAGTGCCGGGGATGGAGCGGCTGGGGCGAGCGGCGGGAGCGAGGGGGGGTCCCGCCGTGGGGCTGGAGACCTCGTTTTGCTGCAGCCTGCAAAACTGGGTGCTGCTGGCCAGGAGGGATGGGAGCAATGGGAGTAAGCATGCACACATGCATGCACACATGCGTGCACATGCAGCCCCAGAGCCAGCTCAGCCCTGTGCTCCCCGGCCCCTGCACTGGGCAGGGAGCAGGATGGGACCCCTCCATGCTGCCACTCTCCATAGAAAGTGTTATAAATATCCAGTCTTGAACCGGGGGGTTTGACGGCAGCAAAACCCCGTGCGACCCAAATTGTCCATCTCCTCAGCAGCTGTGGGCTGCGCGTCAGCTGCTGGATCCTGACGGGGAGAGGGATACTTGGGATGCAGAGAGGGACAGAAACCACGGGATGACGCTGGTCAGGAATGTTTTTGGTTTTATTCCCCCATTCCCCAGTGCTCAGGCTCAGGATTCAGGGTTTCAGAGAAAGAAAAAAAATGGATTTTCTGTGTAAGGACAATAATTTTGGGGGAGAAAAACCTCAATCTCTTTAAGATGACAATCAGGTTCTCTATATAAAAAGCAGTTCCGATGGAAATCTTCCATCAGTGCCAATGAAGAGGGAACAATCACTAATTTTCCTTGAAGCTAATGAGCGCGAGTCTCTATGACAGGGGAGAATTTAATCTGACGTGAACTGAGGAAGAGAAGCAATACTGATATTAATGTGTGACTAATTGATACCCAGAAGAACATTTGAAATGATTAAAAGGCATTTGATTTTTATACAGGACAATAAGAGGCTCATTGGCTACGACTGGTGCATCCTTTCTGTTTTCTACTTCTTGCTCCAATTTGCCCAGAAAAATCTATCATATCCACGGCGTAGCTTGACTGCCACATAAAATCTCTGTGCCTGGAAATATTATACCAAGCAATTCCTCCTGGATAGCATGAAGGTTTGTACATGGTGTGAGTGGAGGCGAGAAGCCCGGCAGAAATAAAATAGGTCCCTGAACTACTAAAAAGCAGCTCCCCAAAGCAGTGGGGCTCGGGCAGCAACCTCCAGCCGAAAACCCATCGTGATTAATACGGTGCTCTTTGTTATAATGAAAAACCCATTAAGGTCAGCGGCAGCATCTCTGAGCAGCACTAAATTGGAACGGTGGAGACAGTAAAGTTAAAAATGAGCCATAATATTAATGTGGATAGTGAATTAATTGGGCAATTCCATAGGTAGTAAGTAAATCATATCGTTTACTGCGGGACATGGCGCCTCATGGCTCTCGCTGCAGGGTGGTGTGGTGGCAGCGGTGGCACCCGCTCCCGGACGGAGCCGGGGGGAGTGACATGGACCCACAGCACGTGGGGGGACCCCGCCGGGTCCGCCCCCGCCAGCCTTTGCCCCTTCTCTTTGAGTGCTGCAGGGCGGTCTCTCGGTAGGAGAAATGCCTCTCGCTTTGCTCTTTTAGGTGCTCCAGCCCCAAAATACATCCAGAGCACACCCTTACAGCGTATCCGGGGTGCTGCATCCACAGTTTAAGGTGTCTGTCCCCTGGTCCTGCAGCAGTGGTCCGAGGTGTCCGTCCCCTGGTCCTGCAGCCGTGGTCCAAGGTGTCCGTCCCTTGGTCCTCAGCCGTGGTCCGAGGTGTCTGTCCCCTGGTCCTGCAGCAGTGGTCCGAGGTGTCCGTCCCTTGGTCCTCAGCCCTGGTCCAAGGTGTCCATCCCCGTTTGCTGTTGCACACACAAAGCTTTGAGCAGGCTGCTGTTAGATTTACAGATGGTCTCTTCCCCTGGTTTGGGTGGGTCTCTCAGGAAAGGCTTCCTCGCCTTCAGGAGACGCATACAGCACCATCACACAGCCCTGAGCCATCTCCTGCTGCTGTTGTGTCTTGGACTGGGACCCGCCGTGGGGGCAGAGGGCACTGATTTATCCCAGAGTGAAGCATTTGCATGCGTGTTGGTCAGGCTGCCGGCTCCCTCCCCACTGCCAACATCCTGGACAGCAAACAGAGAAAAGGAAAAATCACATATAAAAGGAAATTGCTCATTAGCCAGTGGCTGATTACACAGAACCATTTCTGCTTCAAACCATCCCATTTTCTGTAACATTTGCCAGATGAGAGGACGCATACCTCCTCTTATCAACTAGCCACATATGGCCTCAGCTGAAGAGAGGTTTCAGTTATTTGCCTATTCATCATTCATTGTTTATCTTAAGTTCACGTTGTTGTAGGGAACTCCAGAGACATCCTTGATTTAAGTTAAGAAACTTCATCATTATGATAAAACTGCTCAGGGAGTTGGACTTCATCTTGGAGACGTACGTGGCCATGTGGCACTCTGGCAGTCTGCAGCCACAGCAGATTATTCAAAGCTGACAAAGCTTTTGGAGAGAACAGAAAAAGATAAATTCGTGGTGGCCGTTCTGATGGAGCCGCTCAGAAAGTTATTACCAAAGACACATGCTTCTCCTTGCTCACAGCCCATGAAAAATCCTGCTCCCCCGAGCTCTGGGGGATGTCTACCTCATTTCTGCTGTTGTGACTCCCTCGTCAACAGAAGTTATTAACAGCGCTGGAGAATTTTATCCAAATGCCAGTTTCATCTTGATAAATAACAATTTCATGTCTCTGTTCTACTAGATGACTACACGGTTTTATTTCAAACACTTAACTTCTTCAGAAACGCTTCCCTGTGCATGAGGCTTAGCTCATCTACAGAATATGTGCTGAGCAGTTTTTATTTTCACCAGGCTTTGAATATATGTAATGCAAAGACCAAACCCATAATCCTGCACTATCATAAGTCACTTTCCCAATAAAGAGTTACTTCCTACTGGGAACGCTAAAATGTAATTGAAAGCTACGTGTGTATTGGTGTCACACTGAAAACCGTTTTATTAAAAATAGTTTAAGGGTTGTTAAGATCTGAAGGAATAT